AGAAATGACTCAAAAGTTTAAATTAGACAAAAAGTAATCTGCCCTTTCAAATCTATACAACTCATATTATTTTCTTACAAAAATTACTTAACGTAAAATATACGTGCAACGCACGTATTCTAGAACTAGTTACAAAAAAACATCAACTTTACCTATTTTCTACCACAAATTTTAATTTTTTTTAAAATTTTTATATCAAATCAAATTATATCACATAAATTAAAATCGAACCCCGGATCCATGGAAAGATAGAATAGAGTGATCTGCTGGGCTGAGTTTGATCAACAAAGACAAAAGGAGGACCACAGATTTGTGCCTGTCAAGTTGTTGATATATAAATACTTATTATAAAGTCAATAATAAGTGGCTTCTCATTTTAATGGCGGATATTACTAGAACAAACAATCTGATTCATTTTCTAGCCCCTATAGCTTCATCTTCTTAAATATCTTTTGCTCTACTATATATCTTAAGATAAGAATAGGAATAAAGTTTCTACTTTTTATTGCATCTTCTTCTTTCTTGATATTATTGAACTGAAAATGGCTGTGGCTATGGTTTCTTGTGGAATCCCCACTAGTTTAAAACTTATAGAGAAGCAACCCGTTTCAATTCCAGGCTTCTTTAATGGGTCTTTAGCTTTGAATCCAGTCCAAAAACTGCACGTTACACCCAAGAGGTACGCTACATTTTTCTCTGAATTTGGTTTAATTCATCTTTAGCTAATTTGCTTTCTATTGATTGTGGAACCTTATTTTCTCCCAATTTTTATAAATATTTTAGTTGTCGGCAACTAACATCATTTAACCTAATCACAAAATTTGAAATGCAGCTAAATAAATTATGTACTCTTTGATTGAGATTATCTGTAGTTGGTACTTTCTCAAGGACTGGTTAAATTTGTGAGATAAATTGGTCAATTAGGAAAGGGCAATTTTTTATGATTTGAATTGCGGGTAGAGAAAAGGGAAATCAGGAGGGGATTACAAGATGGGGAATCGAGCTATGTATAGTCAACCAACTGAGATACTTAGATAATATTTGAAATAGATCTATGGACTTCCTAAAGTTCAGTAATTATATGGACTTGGAATTACTGTAGTATTAGAGTGGGCAACAATTGAAATCAATATACTTTGTTTTTCCAGATTAGCTTTATCTGGGAGTACAATTGTTCTGAAAGCATCGGCTACAGCTGTGGAGGTATCTTAAGCATATTAGCTGGTTTAAGTAATTGTTCCTTGCTATTTAGTTTTTGATCTGAGATTGAGATGTTTGTTTTCGATTCATGTAATAACTGGTCAAGCAGGATGGAAGTTCACAAGAGACTGCTGCAGTTCCAACACCCAAAGTTGTAATTGATTTGGATTCAGATCCAGAAGCAACGATTGTAGAGGTTACCTTTGGGGATCGCCTTGGGGCACTTCTCGACACGGTAAGAATCTGTTACTCTTATGATTCAAGTGTTGAGTGCTATTTGCTGTCAGTTCTGATCTTGATTTGCAAATGTATTCCAGATGAATGCATTAAAAAACCTTGGGCTGAATGTTGTCAAGGCTAATGTCTGTCTTGATTCATCTGGGAAGCATAACACATTCGCCATCACAAAAGCGTAAGTTCATGTTGTTGGTTCCTTTGTGCTGCTAGGTGATTTTTCTGTTTCTCTTATACTTGAGCTTTGTATGTTATCAGTCACCAGATATATGAAAACACTTACGAATGAATCTTTTGTTATGCGTCTAACAACATTAGTTCCCTGATTGAAATTCTGATTGTTTCGCTATTGGGACTTGTTTCTAGTTCTACGGGTAGGAAGGTCGATGATCCAGAGCTGCTTGAAGCAATTCGTTTGACGATCATCAATAATATGATGGAATACCACCCGGTAGAACTTCAATAAGTTATTGAGCATCAGTTGCTTGATCTGGTACCTCCTGAGGGATTCTTATATAGCTGCTTCTTCTTACTGCATAATTTCTGATGCAGGAATCTAGCTCCAGATTAGCTATGGGAGAAGCTTTCGGTGTTTTTCAACCATATCAGAAGGTTGTTAATAGCCTATATATGCTGTCCTCGCCTCCAGTGTGTGTATACACCGTTAAGTAGATTATGCACATCTGTATTGGTTATTTTGAACATGTGGGAGTGGGGGGTTGTTTTCTGAATGTGCGAGGTTCCTGCTAGTCCTTGCATCATAGTAACGACTAATAGCTTTCTTTCTAGTACAAATTTGATACAGAAACTAAGGCTTGATGTACATAAACTTTCATATCAATCATTTAACTTAAATCTTACTTTGTTGTTTATGCTGAAAATTTTCAGATTGACGTGGACATAGCGACCCATATCCATGTTTATGACGATGCTCCTGAAAGAAGGTAAGATCATATTCCCATTGCTTGGTTTTGATCAGTAAATACTGATACTGATCAACCTCATTAAGTGATCCATTTAGTGCACAACTATAAGAGAATAATAAAATGCCTCTATTTTGCAGTTTACTCTGTGTAGAGACAGCAGACAGACCTGGACTGATAGTTGATCTTGTCAAGACCATTACTGACATAAATGTTGATGTTGAATCAGGAGAGTTCGATACTGAGGTGAGATTTTTTCAGTCGGTTTTCCAAATCATTGCACCAAACTGTTTAGGTAGTGGCTGTGCCGTCTAATAAGTATCAACCTGCAGTAGTTAGTATTGAGTTAAAAAGTTTCATTTTGGTGTAGGGTTTGCTTGCTAAGGCGAAATTTCATGTCAACTACAAGGGCAAAGCGTTGATCAAGCCCCTTCAACAGGTAACCGATGCTAAGTTACAAGCAATATACAATTTCTTTCATTAGACCTTGGTAGCTTGAAGAAAGTTATTGACAATTTTCAGTCTTGAACCTTGTAGGTTCTTGCGAATAGCCTGCGTTATTTCTTGAGGAGACCAACAACAGAGGATGCAAGTTTTTAATACAATGCTGAAAAGTGAGAAATTGTCAACAGGGTTAACCAAGTACTTTCAATTTTCAAGATAATGAAGCTTGCTGGTTTTAGCAGCACCGATCCATTCCAAGGTGTAAACAGCGAAAATATGCTTGAAACTCAGAATCATAGCTTCAATACTGCTGTAACAATGTAGATTGGTACCATTTATACATTAATGATATAAGTTTTCAGAACAGGAAAACAAAAACAATTATCAGTCATCCTTCATCCCAGCAATTTGAGCTATCAGCTTCATTAACACGAAGGTGGAACAGATGATTGTCCTACCTTCTAATTCAATCGAACTTACACAGCCTCTCTATCTCACAAAGTAGGATTAATGTTTGTGTGTACACTACACTCCTCATGTCCCACTTGTGGGATTACATTGGTATGTTGTTGTTGATGGCTCTCTAGTAAGCCAATTCGCAGAAATACTTGAAATGATAAAAAAAAAACTGGACTTAGCTTGGATAAATATCAATCAATCATGGTTCCTCCTTTACTTTGACTTGAAATGAGAAAAAAAATTGGACTTATCTTGCATAAATATCAATTAATCATGGTTTCCTCCTTCACTTTCAATCAATAATGATTATGTTCTTGATGTGATTTGCCATTTTCCTTGCTAGCTACACCAACCTAACATATTACCTACTACCAAAGATATGATGTAGTGGATGGAATCTACGTTGGAGTGAATTCAAAATAGTCGGACTTCAACGCGGATACTTAATGCATATTACTCAGTCAGTCTAGTATCATAAGTGAGTTCTGGGAGGATGGGGGGTGTGGGGATTTTGGATTGTGGCTGAAATTTGTTCACTCTAGATGAAGTGAAGATAAGGCATGTGAGCACTGAACTAGGAGTGGAAAAAGAAACTTTCCTAATGTAACCATATTTCCATTGTCCAGTTAGGTGTGTGGACCAGTTAGATGGATAAGAAAATCATTGCACCAACTCATTATTTTAGCAAAATGGATATTCACTATTCACTACAGCAGTAGTGGATTATGACATCCAAAAAAAAAATAATCTCTTTTAAGACTTCTAAGGATATGAAATATTGTTTGAAGGAGTAATTTCATCTACGACATCTAATTAACGGAAGTCAATTATCGACCAAAATTTTGTTAATGGCCTTTCCACAATTCAAGGACTAACTAAAAGCATGTTACGCTCATGATAAACATTACTTAATCATACTATTCCTCACCTTCCCCACCTGTGTATTAATTTATTTGAAAGTAATTTAACTATAATCAATATTTACTTTATTTATTGTTGATAAGATGAACGTAGTCACAAATTTGTTACCAGATTTTTACTAAAAATCTTTATTTTTTAAAACTTTGTGACTAGTTGATCAAACAAGGATATATAATTAAGTTGGACGAGACTCGTACCGTTAGTTTGCTTACGGGTCAGGTTCAAAGCCCCATAATGTTTGAAACAACCAATTTATTATTTTATTTTATTTTCCTTTTTTTTGGTTGAAATTTCTGGAAATAAAAAAATAAATGAACTTGCCCATGATATTAGCCATTAGGGTGTAAAAATCCTATTTGCTCAAGTTTGGACAGGTTAATAACTCGTTCAATTCAACAGCTTATATATAGACAAGGAGAAATTGTTATTTTTTAATATGTTATAAGACAGAATATTATCTTTTTATTCCTCAATTAATAGATATATTCTTATATTTCCCTATTCCACAAGGGAACAATTCAATTATGAAGACGTCACACGAATAACAATAATTCTGTAAATTCAAATTTCAATCATTATCTATGAGCCCATGAAGAAATATATATAATTATGTTAATGATAGAAAGTGACAAATATTTCGTAAAATTAAAAATGTACCATATTAATTCAAACATCGTAGTTAAGAAAGAAAAAAATAATAATTGTTAGATAAAGAAAAAGGATATAGATATGGTCTAGAAGTTATTTTTATCTAGTATACTTCCATATCCTGTGGAACTAACATTATCATATTATGGTCCATCATTCTTCTATGTTGATACGACGATTTTATTATTCTTTTTTTAAAAAAGGATCAATCCTTAGCCTTTTCTCTTGGGAAACTAAATTATCCATAACCAATTAATTAACCACCCTTTACTTGTAAGTATATTGAACCACTATAAATATGAAAAAGCCTTTGTCTAGCTAGTAAATACATCACTTAAAAATACAACAAGTTGGTCAGCATTGAAGAAGTGAAAAAATGGCAACTGCAGCTGCCGGTAGAGGAGCACAGTCCATGAACTTCATGTATATCAAGTAAGCTTACAAAATATTTCAACCAAAACTTTTTTTTTTTAAAAAAAAAGAATGAACACGGACATTTAACTCAATGACGAAACTAAGAATTTTATTGATATTTATTATTTTACTATATATTTTTAAAATGTTAGTTTGACCTATATATATAATATTATTTTCTAAAAAGAGTCTGATATACTCCTCAACTTTGTCATCTAGAACCGAGATATCCTTCCTTATTATGAAAGTGATTAATATATACGCTTACTGTCAATGGAAACATGCAATTTTCGGAAATGCATATATTATAAGTCAATCACATGAAGGAAAAGTTTGTCTTCAAAGACGTATAATTTCTTGGGTTTCACTAATGGAATTTTAATATTAATAATTACATTTATTTAACTTTTTTCATTTGATGTGAAAATTACGTGAGGTAATTCATAATTATTATGGTCGATCATTATTCTAAGTCCTACTACATCCATATATTTTTGTCACTAAAAGGCACAGTGCAAGTAAGCAAATTATAAGGATATAAAAATGAAAAATTGTCATGAATAGTCGTCTATCAAAATAGTACACAAATATTTTCTTAATATTAATTTCAGCTAATAAAATTAATTTCAAATTTTGTGTCCATATATGTATGTAACTCTTATCAGACATATGTGAATTATGATCACTTGTCCAATGAATCAGACTGTTCTATATCATATAATTATCTAGCAGTATTATATGCCACACGTTTTAAATGGACAAATTGAATTAAATTTAACCAATCAAAATGAAATCATAATTTATTTTTTTGCATTAATATCCGATGAAAGATTACATGGGGCCGATAATCTAACTTGTTATTAATTCTAATAAGTAATAATGTATCTCAATATGTTTAAAACTGAGATGAGATAACTTTTATCAGATCGAAGAAGCATTCAAAATATATGAATTAAGTAATGCTACAAAAGTTTCGTTTGTTAATAGTATAAATAAAATAAATTTTGAAGTTAATCATCAAGTTTCTCAATTATTATTTTGAAGTTTAAGTATAATCATCACTTCGCGTAATATAACTAATTTCAATATTTTTGTATGAAAATTATCGCAAGATTAGCTAATATATTAAATTAAAAAAGAGATAAAGTTAAACATATTTTTTTAACATATTATTCTCTTTGTCTTATATGACATTTTTCATTTTTCGAGAGTCAAAAAATTTAACTTGGATTGGACATTTGCATATGGAATTTTCAGTTTTTTTTTAATTTTTTTTATGTATTTGTAAACTACGTGGAGAGTACTACAAATCATAATAATTAATAATTCAAAATATTAAAAAAAATCTATGAAAAACTTATAATTAAAGATAAACTTATTTATATTTAAGTATTACATAATATAGAATGAATAAAATATTATTCTTATCTCACGTATCAAACGAATCGACGAGTCTTACAGTGTGTTGTACACAGGCCAATTCTGCGTAAAGCGTATCACAGGAAAAGCACATCACCAGAGATGATTAGTGATACAGTTAAATTGAACGGTGAAGATCAAGTGAAGAGTGTGATGAAAAATAATCATGATGATAGTTGGTGGGTCCCAGATGACCGCACTGGAATATTTTATCCAAAGGGTCAACAAAAAGTCATTGAAGATGTTCCTTCTGCTGCAGCAAAGGATTATGGAGCTGTTAATTGGTTTTCTAATCATGAAGATTATCTATAATTAAATTTATTAATTTGTTGCAAAATGTAATTTGCTTGTACGCTCTCCTGTTGTTTAAGTTGCTTTGTTTTTATAAACAATCATGTCAAAATTTATAAATAATATTATCTTATCTCAATTGACATCAAACTAAATTTATAAATAATATTATCTTATCTGAATTGACATCAAACTAATATTGAAAAAAATTATGAATGTTATATATAGTAAAATTAATTGTAAATTTCATTAACGCTAAGTTTACGCGAGGTCCAATTTAAGTGATGTTTTAAAAAATGTATTTTTTTGATATTAGTGTATTATAGTAAATTATTAATTCAATAAATGTTATTTTACAGTTTAATTTAATCAGTTTCCAACAAACTTCTTGTAATTCGCTCCTCTTCCCTCTCTTTGAAATCTCGCTCCCTACTCTCTTATTTTTTAATCCTTTTTCGCTCGCCTCTCTCACTTTATACAAATACAAATATATAGTTTGTGTTTGTATAAAACGAGAGAGATTGTGTGTACAAATATTTATACATATGATCTCTCCGTTCTATACACTTATAATAATACAATTATAAATTTTTCCTTCCTCAATTTTCTTTTGCATTTCTCTATCCCTCGCTTTTACAAACACAAATTATACAAAAGATAAATGTTTGTATAATTTGTGTTTTGTATAAAGCGAGAGAGATTTGATATATAAATATAAATGTTTTAACTCGATTCAGTTGTATATGAATTTAGATTTTATGCAGATATACAAACACAATCAATGATACAGTCAGTAGTTACATATAACAATTATCTAATCAATATGCATATATAATTCACGTCTCTTCACTCTCCGTCCTCTTTCGCTTACCTCTCGCTCGCCTCTCGCTCTCTCCGTATCTCGCTCACCACTCTAGACTAGTACAAATAACAAAACTATAGCTATAAAACGCTAGTATGAGTTTTATGTTTAATATTCCAAAATTTTACCGAAAAAGAATATGTCTAAAAACACATTGATTATCTTAATTGGGATAACAAAAGACATGTCATATTAGTATTTTTGAAAAAGAATCTTACATAAGAATTCAGTGTAAGTAACTTTAAATATATTATTATTAATTTATAAGTAGGTCGAACTTAGAAAATGGAAAGGAAATTCATATTTTAAATACCACAAGATTGCTCGTGGTATGGGTGGAACCTAGAGATAATGCTCAACTGTATACCACACATAATTGTTTGGGTAATGGAGCAACCACACTCTTTTGTTTTGATAGTTAACACTCATTGGTCCACAGTTTTTTTTTCCTTAAAGTTGGTGAAATTTTATGCCGTATAGATTTAAATTAATTAAAGTTTAATGTAATTATCGAACAAAATATAAATATATCACTTTCCAAGTGAGAACATATTTATATATCTTTGATATGCCTCAAGTTGTCAAGAAGACTCAATTTTGAACTAGCTCGTCTAAGATATTTAGGTCTCGAGTCTTGACCCAAGTTTTTATCTTATAATTCGACAAAAACATAACAATTTAGGTCCATCAGTGTTTTTATTACACGTTTTGGCCTTATCACAATACATATGTGTAATTTAAAATATGTCATAATTATTTTTTATTTTTTTATAAAAAAAAATATAATTAAATTTAATATTATCGTATATATCAATTGACCAAATCAATATTATAAATTTATTGTTATAAATTTTTTTTTGTCATTAATATATCACTATAAAAAATTACAAATTATAAACTTCCGCAAAACGTTAACGTTTAAATACACTATTATTTGGGGAGGCTGTATAATGGATTGATGAGTCAATATCCAATTTCTATAAGGGTGGTTTTTGGTGTGGTTGAAGCAGAGACCAACATCTTTTGGATAACATACGTCATTGGAGTAATTTCTAGATTAACCAAAATGATTAATTAAACTTCACATATTTAATTATAAAAAACTTAATAACTTTTACATCGACTGCATATTTAATTAGGACGGAAATTATTATATTAAAGTTATTATATATGCCATGAGATCCATGAAGGAGCAAAGAAAGTGGAATTAGTCAAAAGTTCGTTAGCATAACAAATTTCTACTAAATTAACCCCAATCAACATATGTTAATATGAATTTTAAATATTTTTTTTTTACTTGAGAGGCCTCTTTTTATTTATGCAACTTCGTGAAATTAGTCATTCTCATGCTTTGCTGCTAGAGGCTTCAACATTTGGTGAACTATCTCTCTAGTTTTGCTGGTTCTCTATTCTAAGAAGAAATGAACGCTTTTGAAAAATTATAATAACGAAATATCACATTATATATATATATATTTTGGGACATCGAAATAATTTTCGATTTTCGAAATTTATTACTTGCTATACTATGGTTGAAAAATAGGAGTTCGGAGCCTAAGGAGACTCTATTTGAAGAGAAAAAGCCTAATAGAATTCTGAAAAATAGTATAGAGAGTCGGTCAATTTTTATTTTATTTTTTTAATTCAAATTTAATAATTAGTGAAATGACACTTAATATCTATACATAGGAAATCAAAATTACGAATAATATGAGACCAAGGAGGACAGTTTTGACCTTATTTTAAAAATAAATCTAATATTGGTATGTTATATAAATCAAATCTAATGATCACCAACCACCCATTTGAGTTTATTGATTTGGTTAATCATATTTTATGGAACACCTACTTACAGGTAGTAATGTAAATCTTTTAACATAATATTATGTATAAATTAGTAGGTGAAAATGTCACCGTCCGGGGCCATCAACAACCCGTTCCGGCATATTGCGGTAGGTGAAATTTATTTTGTAGAAAAGGTCTTTAATATTTTTTTTGAAGTCAACTTTGAGTACCACCTAACTTTTGGACCCCTAATCCTCATCAAAGAACCACTTTCACCAACCACACCTCTTCATGTCCTCACATTTTTTTCTTTGTTTTCGCGTTCAGAGTCTCTATTAGAGCCCCGACAAAATTTGGACCGCACACTGAATGATCCGTTTTCAATAAGATTTTCTTTATATCTAAGGCTCGATGTCGAGATTTCTGGTTAAGGATGTTAAGGATGTAACAGTCTCACCACTATCACTAAATTTCTAATATCCCCTAACTAAAAGTACTTTTAAAAAATTCCATGAAACTACCCCTAAACAACCCTATATTCCCATCAAGTCCTTCTCACCAACTCCCTAGTTTGGGTTCACGTCTTCAATAACACATACTCATATATATACTCCACCTATGAACATTCATCTTCAGGACACCTAAAAAAGTCTTCAACACTTTTTCTTTATTGCTCTTAGCGAGCCCAAAATTTCAAACTATAGTACTACATTTTTTTTTTATTCTTCTTCTCGTCAAGTCTCAAAAGCTAAATCAAAATGACAAATGCAACGATGGAGAACGAAACAAAACAAGACGATATAATTTTTCGATCGAAGCTCCCTGATATTTACATCCCTAATCATCTTCCGTTACACTCGTATTGTTTCGAAAATATTTCGGAATTCAAATCGCGCCCGTGTTTAATCGACGGGGCGAATAATCAAATTTATACATACGCTGATGTTGAGCTCAATTCGAGAAAAGTTGCTGCTGGTCTTCATAAACAATTTGGGATCCAACAAAAGGATACTATTATGATCTTATTGCCAAATTCACCAGAATTTGTGTATGTCTTCCTTGGTGCGTCGTACCTCGGCGCGATATCGACGATGGCTAATCCTTTGTTTACGTCTGCTGAAGTTGTGAAGCAAGCTAAGGCTTCTAATGCTAAGATCATTGTCACTCAATCGTGTCATGTGAACAAGGTGAAGGATTATGCATTGGAGAATGGTGTGAAGATCGTGTGTATCGATCCGGCCCCTGACGGTTGTGTTCACTTTTCTGAGTTGATTCAGGCCGATGAGCATGATATCCCTGAGGTAATACTGCGTGATCATCATATCTAAAAGTTTAAGTTAACGGAGAAAACGTATTTCTTTTAGTTATGTAATTATGTTATGTTGAGACTTTTTACTCTCCTTAGATGCAAACTTGGCTTTTTTTCACTGGTCAAACACGTGAAGATGTTTTTTTTTGCTTTTTTGGGTGATGATCATGGTGAATAAACCGAGGATTGTGCAGATTTGGTATATATCATGTTAAAATTGTATGACCAAGCTAGTATTAATTAGAGTGAACACATATAGATTATTAATTGCTTAATTATATAGTACTAAGTGGACAACATGCCTTATTTTGGGGGTTGATTCTTTTTTACTAGTCAAACTATGTGTGAATATTCTCTACTTTTTAGGTTCTATTGAGATTTTAAATCTATTTTAATACTATTTTGAGTTGTACGATCATTTTAACGGAGAGATGTCTGAACAGGTGAAAATCCAACCCGATGATGTGGTGGCGTTGCCGTATTCCTCCGGAACAACGGGTTTACCTAAAGGTGTCATGTTGACACACAAGGGACTAGTCACAAGTGTGGCACAACAAGTTGATGGTGAAAATCCAAACTTGTACATCCATAGTGAGGATGTATTGCTTTGTGTGTTGCCTTTGTTTCATATATATTCCCTCAATTCCGTTTTGCTATGTGGATTAAGAGTTGGAGCAGCAATTTTGATTATGCAAAAATTTGACATTGTTCCATTCTTGGAATTAATACAAAATTACAAGGTGACCATAGGGCCATTTGTGCCACCTATTGTTTTGGCTATTGCTAAGAGTCCTATGGTTGATAATTATGATTTATCATCGGTAAGAACCGTTATGTCTGGGGCTGCACCATTAGGAAAAGAACTTGAAGACACTGTTCGAGCCAAATTTCCTAATGCTAAACTTGGTCAAGTAAGATTCTTATATCGTAGCAACTTCTTAATTAATATATTTTTATTTAAGTATACATTAATTTAGGTTATATATATGATTAGTTAATTGTTGATTTTGATTTGACTTGATCTAAGTTCAGATCTCCACGCACATTGGTGCTTAATTAATTGCTGATTATTTTACACTAATTATAGGGATTAATTAAGCTTGATTTCACATGTTAAGGCTTTTGTTTGAAATTTTCTATTTTTTCCCCCTAGAAATTAGTTGGTAAACGTCTAATCTCAAGTTGCTGAAAAGATCCAATCAATTAAAAAATATTGCAATGAAGCAACCCCACTTATTTTATTTATATATGACATAAAGAATATCTAAACCATCAAATGATTTATAATTTAATAGTTAATAAAATGTAATTATTTATTAAAAAAAAAAAAAACAGTCGTTAAAGCTTAAATTGAGTATCATATTTTTCTGTTCAGTTTGAAAAATCAAGAAATAATTTATCATTTAATTTTTAATTTACCCTTTCATTTACTTTAAACATTTTCAAACATATTTCATTTATTATATTTAGTAAGCCATTCTTTTTGTTACGTTTAAGGCTGTAACAAGTTCGTACAAGATAAGTAATATGTGAAATCACATTTTTGATATTGATATCCCAAGTCATATCTACCAATGAACAATTTTGTCAATTCAATTAAGACACAAATGATATTGATTTTCCTAGTCATATTTTACAACAAAGTAAGGTGACTTGCTTAATATGAGTAATTATTTTGATTGTGATTGTTTTTATTATATGTATAGGGTTACGGAATGACAGAAGCCGGACCAGTGTTGGCTATGTGCTTGGCATTTGCTAAAGAACCCTTCGAAATTAAATCTGGAGCATGTGGGACTGTTGTTAGAAATGCTCAGATGAAAATTGTGGATCCTGATACTGGCAAATCTCTCCCTAGGAACCAATCTGGAGAGATTTGTATAAGAGGCGATCAAATTATGAAAGGTACGTTATCAAATGAACTATTAGCTGAGTAATTTTTCTATAATGTCGAATCATTATTTGCACAATAGTTTCCCAAATAAAACTTACATTCTTCCACTTTAGCACTTTAATGGGACTCAATATCTTAAATTGGAGCCAAAATATTATAAATGTGCATTTTTATATTTTTAAAATTATTTCCACTATTGATTATATATATTTGGTACAACTAATCCATAAAGTGTATGTCACAACTCACGACAATCACCTCGAGTGATATTGTTGGGCCACTAACCAAAAAATATATATTTAAATCTTTATGTCGTGATGGAACATAACTAATGAGTTTATATGATTTTTTTTTTCTAGATATTGAATTGATATGTAGTTGACTTTGAACTTGAATCAAATTAATATGAATATTGTATACAGGTTACCTAAATGATCCAGAGGCCACTACGGGAACAATAGACAAAGAAAGGTGGTTACATACGGGCGATATTGGTTATATTGACATCGATGATGAGCTTTTCATTGTGGATCGTTTAAAGGAATTGATAAAATACAAAGGATTTCAAGTGGCTCCTGCTGAACTTGAAGCCCTTCTCCTCAATCATCCCAATATTTCAGATGCTGCTGTTGTTTCGTAAGTCAATAATTATAATAAAATCGCGCTATTGGCACGATTATGTTAATGCATCGAATTTTCGTAATTCTAATAATTGTTTAAAATTTGTGCAGAATGAAAGACGAGCAAGCAGGAGAAGTTCCTGTGGCTTTTGTTGTCAGATCAAATGGCTCCACAATTACTGAAGATGAAGTCAAAGAATTCATAACAAAGCAGGTTAGTTTAATTCATTTATTTTCATTAGACGAATTTCATTAAATCAACATTATTTTTTTATTTAGTCGATTGACTATCTAAATTTTATTTTATTGGCGTTGTTCGTTTTTCTAACTTAGTTCCTTCACTTGCCCCGATGTGATAAAATATATTTTGAAAAAAGATTAATAAATTTTGGTCCTTCACTTGATATAATTACTATGTACTTTTAGTAACATTTGTATCATAAAAAAATGGGCTTTTCTAATTTTTGTTATTTTAAATTGATTTTTCAGGTGATATTCTATAAAAGGATAAAGAGGGTATTTTTTGTGGATGTTGTTCCTAAATCTCCATCGGGCAAAATCCTTAGAAAGGACTTGAGAGCTAAATTAGCTGCTGGATATCCAAATTAAATACTACTTCATACTTTAATGGCGATCGAATAACTATAACCAATATTTTTTTTTTTGTTATTGAAAGTTACATATTTTTGTTCTTTGAATTGTATTTGTACGTTAAACCACCTGCCTCTATACGGTTAAAATTAATTAACCAATTTGGCAAAAGGAGAAAAATGTATGTATATTTGACTGTAAGGGACTTATTTTTTTTTTTAAATGTCTCATATTGCATTTAGTCATTTACTAGTGTAACATAAGAAAAAGTTCCATCATAAGTCCGGTGAATTTATTAAAACATTATAACTTTTTTTTTTCTCGCTAAACTTTTTATCGGCAACAGGCGCGGGTTGATTTTCTAAAATAATTTTTTTTTTAAATTGTTATTTTTAATAAATATGACAACTAAAATGGACCAAGAAAGTATCAAATCATAATGATAAGTTTTGACGTTTTATCGAGTTATTGTAATATTCGAGAGAGAAGATAATATTTAGAGAAATCAAAAAGTTTGAAGAAGTTGTTTGGTTTTCCAATGAGACTACTTGTTAGTATTTAAGTAACTCGTTAATTAATCAGATTAACTAACTCATCATTTTGATCAAATGGCAAATGAATCGGCCTTTGCTATGTCTTGCGATGATTTTTACTTCTCACTACTTTTTGACGAAACCCAAAATGAAATCGGCGAATCGTCTCTAAGTTTCTGCGAGATTTGTGCAGAGAGAAAAGAAATTGATGAAATGTTCACAATTGAATCTTGCAGCCATGTTTTTTGTGCTGATTGTATTAACAAGCACGTCTCAATAAAAATCCAGGACAAAATTCACGTTGTGACATGTCCTGGTGTAGCTTGCAGGGGAATTCTCGATTTTGAGACGTGCGTTTCAATCATACCTAAAGATGTACGTGATAGTTGGGACGAATTGTTGTGTGAATCGCTAATTCTCGCCTCGCAGAGATTTTACTGTCCATATAAAGATTGTTCAGCCATGCTAGTGAACGATTCGGATGAAATAGTTAGGGAATCGGAGTGTCCTGTTTGTCGGAGATTGTTCTGCGCGCAATGTTATGTGCCGTGGCATTATGATTTTCAATGTGAAGAGTTCGGGAGAATGAATGTGGAGGAAAGAGACGGAGATGATTTAATGGTGATGGAATTAGCAAAGGCGAAACAGTGGACTAGATGTCCTTATTGCAGATTTTTCGTCGAGAAAACAGAGGGATGTTTGCATATGACTTGCAGATGTGGATCACAGTTTTGTTATAAATGTGGAATAACTTGGAGAAATAATCATGCTTGTTAATGCAATACTTTTTTTCAAGTACTTACTTATATTTTGGATGAGGAGAAATGTTGGATTCAACATAACTAGAGGAGAAATATTTGATATGATGTTTACATGGTAGTTTTTTATTAAATAGGAAAAAATTGTATCGTCTGTTTTATAACGTTCTTATGTCTAGTTTATCTATGTGCTATATATTTCATTAATCACAGAGAGTCCATCCATCTCATTATTCACTGATAATGAAGTTTTTGCAACCTCAATTTGGTGCGTGGATGGTTTGATTTTGGGGGCCCAACATTGGGGGACTTTTTGTCATTTTTAACTACTTTTAAATTAGATCTTAGACATAACTTACACCCCAAAAGCTAGTTCAAAGGGAGTAGGATTGCTCAAGTCCATCTCATTAATGGGATTTTTGTCATTACGAAACAAGTCATTTGTGTGTAAGGATCAATTTGGTGTGATCACAATCGCTAGCTTAATATTTTATTCTCTTTTTGTCTTTACTTATTATTTAAGTACTTCGCATTCTACTTTTTCTGGATATGTAACATTGTAACAACAGGAAAGCACGGTAAACCGAACAAAGGGTGTCAATGGATTTGAGGTACCTAAAAGTTATCAGACTATATCAAGTTATGAAGATCTTGTTTGCATCTTACAAGAGAGGCTCAGAGCATGTTACTCAGACTTAATTTTACCCAATGGAACATATAGACATGCGTTTCAATAAAATCATAGCAAGATACAGTTTTAAAATAACATGAACGCACAAACATGGAGTAACATTTCAGATGCTGTTGTTGTTCTGTAAGTCGCATGTTAATGCATCGAACTGCCAAAATAATAATCTTTTAAACTTCTGCAGAATGAAAGAAACTCCAGTGGCTTTTGTTGTTAAATCAAATGGCTCCACAATTACTGAAGATGAAGTCAAAGAATTCATAACAAAGCAGGCTGGTTTTATTCATTTGTGTTTATTTGCCAAATTTTGCCAAATTGAGATTAGTAGCTTAGTTGATCGATTATCTAAATTTTTATTTTATTGGTGGGTTTTTTTTAATTGTTCCTCAGCCCTTACCTGGTAATTCCCTCTCTACTTTACCTTCTCCTGCTCCCTCTGTAATAAAAAATAAATAAATTGTAGACCTTCCCCTGATATAATTACTATGTAGTTTTACCTAATAGAAAATTTTTATCATAAAATGGGTTTCTAATTTGTTGATTTTCAGGTGATATCTAATAAGAGGATAACGAGAGTATTTTTAGTGGATGATGTTCCTAAATCTCCATCTAGCAAAATCCTTAGAAAGGACTTGGGAGCTAAATTGGCGGCTGGATATTCAAATTAAATATTCTATCCGTTTAAAAAAAATGACTTCGTTATGATTCAACTCATCGGGCCGTGCGGGCACTCATTCTAATACCTAAGCAGGAGAATCCTCACATCTTAATAGAGAAAACATGCAGAAATTAAAAAGACGGAATAACAAATGTGGTAAGGTACTTAAAGAATGCACCGGGTTTGGGGATCATGTTGTCATCTTAAGTTTCCAAGCAACTCTCAGTCTATTGTGATGCTGACTGGGCTACATGTCCTATGACAAGAAGATCTGTGAGTGGCTTCATTGTGAAGATCGGAGACTCTGAAACAGAACAGTTTCGAAAAGCTCGGCTGAAAAGCATGGCTAATGTTGTGGTAGAAGTGGTTTGGTTAGTAGGCTTGTATAAAGAATTAAAGGTGGAGTTGGAGTTGCCAGTCAAATTGTTCTGTCATAGTAAGGCAGCACTACAGATTGCTGCTAATCCTATATACCATGAAAGAACAAAACATATAGAGATTGACTGTCATTTCATTCATGAAAGGATATACGAAGGCGTCATTCAAACAAGTCATGCACCGTCTAGAATGCAGTTAGCAAATGTGTTAAACCAAAAGTTTGGGGAAGACTCAACATGATTTTTTACTATCCAAGCTTGGTGTGTACAATCTGTTTGCACCATATAGCTTGAGGGGTGTATTGAAGATACAAAGTTAATTAGTAGCTAGATGATGTGGCAGAAGTTAGTTGGAGAATCAAATTAGTTATAATTGTTCCTTTTTGTTAAGCAGTTAGAAGGAGATGTATATATGTACATGTATGCTCAAGTTAAGACTCATTCACTTCAATAGACATTTTACTTTTTACATTGTCGATATTCTTCTTAGATTAGACTATCAGAAAACCTCCATTAGAGGCTTTAATAAACAACACATAAATTTACACCATTCATTATTATTTAAGAATAGAGGATAATTGACCCGCAATTTTAATAGTATAACCAAAATAAATTATATCTAATTTGATCTGCATTATTTGAGATAGATTATACATGTATTTGATTGTATATATACATGGATATATATACAATATTCAAGTTAGTTACAATAGGATTGTGTGTATATATATATATATATATATATATATATATATATATATATATATATATATCCATGTATTGTATTTTTGTGAATAATCAATATACATAATTCTTTTCATTCCTCTCAATGTTGCTCTCATTCATGGATTCCGCATTGATTCAGAATAATCAAACTTAACATGGTATCAGAGCTTCTCGAGCTTCATCAGTAAGAGTTTGGCAGTTCGAAGTTCAGATTTGAACTTCTTGTCTTTTGTTTCTTCAGTTTGAAGTTCAGATTCGAGCTTCTTTTCTTCATTTTTCTTCAGTTTGAAGTTTAGATTTAAGCTTCTTTTCTTCATTTTCTTCGATAGTTTACTCAATTTCTTCAATTGTGATTTCATTAGGAGATTCTGGTATTGGAAATCAACTGGGTACTGCCATGGCTGCTACCACAATTGATCATCTTCATCCTCTCTATTTGTATCATCTGACGCACCTGGATCACTCAATGTAGGTATAATGCTTATAGGAACTGATAATTACACTTTGTGGAGCAAAGCTATGCAGTTGACTATGCTTGGGAAAAAACAAGGTGGGATTCATTAACGGTACAGTAGATCGAGATCAATTCGCAAGTGATTTGGCACGTTTATGGGATCGTTGTAACGCAATTGTAGTATCATGGATTCTGTGCAATGTTAACGGAGTGCTTTTTTGCTTAGACGCACACTGAATTTAGGAGGATTTGAAAGAAAGGTTTCATAAGATAAACAATTCACGTATGCTATACAAAGAGATTTTCACACTTGTTCAAGGAGTCTCTTCTGTTTCAATATATTACTCTAGGCTTAAGGATCTATAGGATGAATATGATTCTATCATGCCTTTTTCTTCTTGCACATGTTCTAAATCTAGGGATTTCTTTGAGCACTTACAGTTTTAGAGAATGTTACAATTTCTCATGGGACTGAATGATAACTATAGCCAAGCTAGGAGCCAAATTCTATTGATGTCTCAGCTGCCTAATGTTAATCAGGCATGTTGAATGCCTTGAATCGGACCCATTACAACAGAAAGAACGGGGGTTTCGTTGCCTGGTCAACGAGTCGGGGGGTCCAGGGGGGCGACGCGCCCCCTGGACCGGGGGTCCGGGGGGGGCGGAGTCGCCCCCGGCCCGACGGTATACAATGTTGTTGTATTGAGCCCTTAATTATATGTCAATTCTGTATTTTGGGCCTAAGCCTGTTAGGGCGTAGCTTAGCACTATATATAGACGCTATAACAAATCTTATTCTGTGTTCTGTTCTTGCCTCTCCATAATAAAACTGCTCCCCCTCTTCTCGTGGCCGTAGCCAATTTATTGGTGAACCACGTAAATCTGTTGTCTTGTTTTTCGCGTTTATATTTTCTTGTATTATCTCGAATTCCGCATAACAAGGCATATGCCATGATTAATCAGGATGAAAGACAGAGAATGGCTGCTAATTCGAGCAGGATATTACCTGAGAATTTAGCACCAACTGCATTATTCACAAACAGATTCGAATCAGTCACTCCGAAGCAGCAAAAGAGGGCCTTACAATCCTCATGTCTTATGTGAATTTTGTAATGTGAAAGGACATCTGAAAATTGATTGTCTCAAGTTGATGAAATGTGATTTTTGTCATAAGACTAGCCATCTTAAAACTAACTGCTATAAGCTCATCGGCTATCCACCTCACTACAAGGGCAGGAGAGATCATGTTGTAGCTGATAACTCGATCTATGATGCAGGAGTTTTACAACAACAGCAACACAATGATGTAGCTGGTAACTCGATCTATGATGCAGGGGTTTTATAATAGCAGCAACACAATGTTGTAGCTGGTAATTCAATATATGATGCAGAATCCATGAATTAGAGCAACATTGAGAGGAATGAAAAGAATTTTGTATATTAATTATTCTCAAAAAATACAATACATGGATATATATATATATATATACACAATCCTATTGTAACTGACTTGAATGGCTGCTAACTGATTGCTACAGTGTATAACTAACTTGTCTAATAAACTATTTTACTCACACGACTAACATTGCAATGTATAATATAACAGCTTGTAACTAAACTTTACTAATGCACAGTGGTGCATTTATTCAATTCTTTTACACCCTCCTTCAAGCTGGGAGCTATGAGATATTCTTCATACCTAGCTTGGACATAAGATGCACATGTGGAATTTTTCCAAGTGCTTTAGTTAGGATATTAACTAGCTGTTCTGAAGATAATAGATTGGTAGTAAAAAGTACTCCAGCTGGAATTTTTTCGCTTATGAAATGACAATCAATGTCAATCCTATTGTAACTGACTTGAATGACTGCTAACTGATTGCTATAGTGTATAACTAACTTGTCTAACAAACTATTTTACTCACACGGCTAACATTGCAATGTATAATATAACAGCTTGTAACTAGCTCCACTAATGCACAATGGTGCATTTATTCAATTCCTTTACACTATATTTGCAATAAACTAATTACCGCATTGTATATATTTGAAATACTTATTTTGGAATGGATCAGGTTAGGTTGGTCCAAAGCCATGCCCCGTGGGAATTAGCCCAATTATAAAATTCAACCTAACAATGAGGTCAAATTACAGCGTTTTCCTAGAAAGAAACAACGACCCAAATCCAGTCTCCAAAGTTCATTCGATAGAGTATATTATGGAAAAAATAATGAGTGTATTAGCTTTATATATTATAAGTATTTTTTCATGATATTTTTTTAAATTTATGTATTAGTTATATATTCTATTGTGTATTAATATATTTATTATTAATATCATGAATTTTTAGGTATTAACAATGCAATGATTTTAATGCATGCACTAGCATTATTAAAGACC